TAAAATGGTGTTTATACATTTCGAAACAAGTCGAAACAAGATATTACATATATTACTATATCATATACATTACTATATACACATGTCACAAAATTTACTTATTTTTATAAATCTTTTTGTTAAAAAAGTTTAGTTTAATAAGTTTATGACTCTATTACATTAATTTTTTATTTTAGGATTTGGAATCATCAAATTCAGAAAATAACAAACTTCTAAATGAATTAGGAACAAAAAGAAAGAAACAAGCTGAAGCAGATAATCCAACTTCTGCTAAGAAAAAGGAAATGGTGAATCCATTTTTTTTAAATAATTTATTCTTAATTGAAAATTATTTATTCTTGACGCTAGGATAAAATATTAAGATTAAATTTTAAGGATAAAATATTCTTGGATCAAGGCATATTTTCATTATTTTAAGGATTCATTTTTTTGTGTGTGATCGTGCCGAAGCTGAGATAATTAAATTAGTATATATTGCTAATGAAAGCAATATGAAAATTTAGCAGATATTGCTAAATTTTGTGACATGTGTATATAGTAATGTATATGATATAGTAATGTATGTAATATCTTGTTTCGACTTGTTTCGAAATGTATAAACACCATTTTACAACAAAGAATTTCACAAATTTCATTAGCAATATAATACTATCATTAAAGTTAGTACTATTTACATGTATCATAGATATGAAAACGGCTTCCGATATCACTTCTATTTTCAATTCTAGCAATCAAATTATTTTTACAATATTAACGATAAACATGAAAATGATAAAAAAGACTTATGAAAATATTATTAAAACATTATAAAACTGCTGACTATCTAGTTTTCAAGATATTGATATATAAATTATATGACAATTTATAGTAACAGTTGAAGTATATGACAGCTAATCTGTAATGGTTTTGTAATACTTTATAAACAATATTTCCTTTGTAGTGCCTTTTGATTAAGCTCTTAAAAATAGGATAGTTAAAAATCTTAAAGATATAACCTTAAAAATTTATACTTAATATGTAAAAATGGAAGAAAATATGGTAAAATATGAAAGAATCTAACGTTGCGATTATTTTTTTAGTAACATGTGCATTAGTGTGCGTTTGTCGGTACGTATGATATATTTACAAACATATATAGTATCTGACATGAACAGTCTCACAAGGAACATTCGCGAAGTGTGTGTCTCCGATTTCGATGAAACTTGGCATATTTATAGAATGGTCAAAAATAAGTGATCCAATTCTTTTTTTATCGGCAATGGCTCAGGTTTAAGGGGTGAAACTACCCCTCAAAGTTTCATTGAAATCAGAGACACACACTTCGCGAATGTTCCTTGTCAGTCAAAAGCATTAATACATCAAAACACGAAAAATAATTGTTTCTTTATGAGTTTTTAAACATTACGTAAGTTTGATTAATATTCTCGTGTTATAGTGTCAAAGCTATATATCATAAAACATATTTATAAACATTTAGCACATATTTGTAAAACTTTTTCGTGTTGTATTAACCATTACTTAACACAACTTTCTAGCAATATTATTGCGAAATAACCCACACAATAATATGATGTCTTAAAAACGTCTAAAATACGTTTCAAAATTTTTCAGACGTCTTAAAAAATTGTCAGAGAGACGTCTTTATGATGTCTTTAAGACATCTTATGTCTCGATTTAAAGACTTAAAGTCTCGATTAAAATCTTAAAGATATTATTTCAAATCTTAAAGATGTTCTATTTACTACTTTAAGAGCTTTACTTATACATATAAGCTACTATAGATTTCTATAGTTATATACATATTAAGAAGAGAAGAATATTTTATTTATTATCATTTATTTGTTGCAGTCAGTTGAGAATGATGATTAGAATGTGAATTTGCTCATCCGTTTTGCTTAACATTAGGATTAAGTATTGATGACAGTTAACAGATAATAATGATGAAAATCAGCATATCATGTACTTTAAACTTTAAAACATATCCTGCCGAATAGCAATACTTGGTAGTATATGATTCAAAATTTAAAGCATATGATGTCGGATACTATCAATATTGGCTAGCTGTCATCGATATCTAATCCTGAATAGGATAGAATCCACAGTCACAAATCCACAGTCTAATTATTATTTTCAAGAACCACCTTTATGGAAGAAAGGAAATTTTCACTCGGCATTGCAACTTACAAATAAACTGACCAAATTATAAAAATTTACTTTAATATTTAGTTTAATATTTACTTTAAATTTAGTTTAAATTTACTTTAAATTTACTTTAAATTTAGTTTAAATTTATTTTAAATTTAGTTTAAATTTATTTTAATATTTAGTTTAACTTCTTCAAAATTTTGACATGCTTCATGTACACGATGCTCGCAAAGACTAAGAAGTTGTTGTAATATTTACCATAGCAAGAGCATATATAAATTTCATAGTCAATAATGCAATCATACATAGAATGCATGTTCGGGGAGCACGCTACCAGTGCTATTTAGTATTACCGCTGTTTGTGGAGCTAGTGGCACTACCAATCACTATCTTTGACATATCATTGACGGCAGTGTTCTACGTCATATCTTCACGTTACCAATACTGTCGCCTCCAAAGTAGTGCATTGGTAGTGTTAGCGTTTGCTAGCTCTCTAAACAGCGGCAGTGAATTATTCGTGCTGCATGTGTATCCTTATTCTCTGCACATTAAATTTTAGACTTTTGTTTGATTGCAAACGTCAACATTAGCTTTACATATAAAAATAAATTATATAGAATCCAATTACAAGATGCAAAATCACAAAAATTTGGGTTAAATTTCAACTACTTAATAGGACGGCCTTTAACACTACGCTATTGCTGTTCATGGAGCTCGCATTCGCTAACACTATTTTGGCTCCGTGAACAGAGTTCGTAGCGTTAGAATTAATAGCGCGGTAGCGAACTCCCCGAACGTACCCATAGTTTTAAAAATATCATTCAATAGAGCTCCTGGGCTATTCATAGTCGGATCTTATATTTAAAACCGTCTTAAATATATTTTTAGATAATATACCGATCATTTTATTGGCTACGGAGTATCTGAAAGAAAGCTTAAAACGGTCTTAAATATAATATCCCAATATAGCTGATTTTCGTTATTAGAATTGAAAATCTGTAGTATATGTAACATGAACTATAGATTTTCAGTACTAGCAGTGAATATCGGAACGCAGCCTATGAATATCGGCTATAAAGACGCCTGAAATATGATGTCTAAAAAATATCTTAGAAGAAACGTCTAAAAGACATCAGAAGTAAGATGTCCTTAAAAGGTCTCAACGTCGAAAAACGTTTGAAGTGAGACGTCTATAAGACGTTTTTAAGACGTCTTTTAACTGTTGTATTATCTAAAAATTAAGCAATTTAAGTTACAAACAAAACCAATTCTTTTATTTTGTTACATATATTAATTCTTCATAATTATTACAAACGGATTAGAGCGGATGCGAATCTTTCAGGAATGGTAAAAAAATATATTTTAACTATGTGTGAAAAGAACCGTGTTCATAATTGATAAAAAATTCTAATACTACGATGCAATAAATTTAGGAATTATATAAAATAACAAAAATTTTTAAATATTCCTGACTTTCTTTCAATTCTTATATTTGCATCTTATTTTAACGCCTATAAATATAATATATAATTTCATATACTAAAATATCTAGAAATTATCTCTAAAAAATATTGATACAACGAAATAATATGTAACATTTTTTTTTAATAGAAGTTAGTACCGCGAAATCAACCATCTCCATGAGCGGGGATTTAATTGTTACCATTTTATTCATCAGAAATAGCATTCAATATCGCGGCCTCTTCTTTGGTAACATCTTTAACTATAAAACATTTCTATTAAAAATATTTTTATTGCAACTTCTTTTCTTATTGCTCAGTTATTTAATATTTAATAAATTTAATAATAAATAATATTTAATAATGTTATTTAATATTATATAACGTTATATAAGTTATATAAGTTATTTAATATTATATAACATTTAATATTATGTGTTCAAAAATCTTCTAGGAATACATTTTACTAAACATTAAGATTTTATCCACTTTATAACTATTACGCGATGGTTACCTTTTTATCTCGCCAATATCGTAATATATATATGTGTGTGTGTGTGTGTTTATGTGAAGTAGCAAAAAATTGCAACGTGTTTCTTTTCGATACGTCTTGAAATAGACAATAATCGTGAAAAGTAAATACTCACCAACATAATCAGGCGTACCCAAGATTTCTCGTATGTCTGCTCCATGACTGATGTATCGCGATATGCCGAAATCACACAACTTCACGTCGCAGTCCGGGAATTCTCCGGTAAGTACCAAATTCTGCGGCTAAAACATTAAAGAAGAAGGAAATTCAATGAGATACAGCTTGCTGTTATTAATACTTACTGTTATCAATACGCGAGAACACGGAACATGTAGCTCTTGCTTCAAGTTTGTTACGCAATGTATACACCGTATAATTCGATTATTCATTTACATATTTCATATTCGTGCGATCTTGACTTTTCTTTAAGAAGTCTGACTCGAAGCCGCGAGTTCATAAAAATATACAGAAGAGAGAAGGCACGTAGTGGCGTTTCTCACATACCGATCTGCTGTGACAATATCAGTTTCCTATCGCGGAAAATACGGAGAAAATAAAGCTTCTTTTCAGTGGATACTTTCTCATGAAGTCGCTCGCTGTATATTCTCTCGTCGCCGTCCGTTAAACACGAACAAAGCGCTTTGGGTGTTTTGTGGTGCCAGTCAATTATCGGACGCACGCAATACGGAACGAGACATTAATCTTTTTTCAACCGGCACTAGAAGTATTTCGGCGCCACGATGCAAATATAGTGCCAAATTATATAGCTGATAATTATAGCATCCGCACGCACACACATCGCATCTGCATACACACGCAGTCATGCGATCCATTATTATACGACTTGAGATTTAATTTTAGTCGATAATCGCCATGAGAATACATTTAATTGTTGCCATTTTTTCATCGGGAGTAGCATTCAATATCTCGGCCTCTTCGTTTGAGTTTCAAAAATTAAAGGGATCGGAGTACGTTCTCAAACTTTCAGGATTTCGGTGTCGAAATTTACCTAATAAACACTTCTTTGAACAAACAAAAAGTTAAAGAGCCAATAAAAGTAGTGCGCTAAATATAAATAATACACTTCCTTTCCCAAACTTTTGTTAATTAATTAATAAATAATTGATAAATTAACAAAGGTAGAAAAGAAAGTGATTACCAAAAACAATAAACTAAAGGGTTATCTCCTACTTTGAAATTTTAAAAAAATTTTGAAAAATTTCTTTTTACTTTAAAAAATATTTTCAAATTTTAAAATTAATGTGCAAACGGATGCAAATGGATATTTAAAATATTCTTCAAGTTATAACATTTCAAACGATTCATGTACCTGTATGTAGGTAACATTCAAATGGATCAAACGGCACAACGTTCTACAGGATGTCTCAGACTTTCTTCCGCAATTTTTATAGAGATAAAAGTTTCATATCATTTTGCGATAATAGTCGCAATAATATTATTCGCAATAATAGTCGAAATATTAATTAAAAATTTGTGAATGATCACACGCAATATGGATAAGCTGTAGTGCCGATATGTGCTGTTATGTGCTTGTACATTAGATCAAATTGAGTAAAAAAATCCTTTATTATTGTAAATAACCACATAGATTTATAATCATTAATGAAAGAAAATTATGCACGATAATGCACAAATCTTTTTTAATTAATATCTATATAATCATTTATAAAATAGTGCATAGAGGATTTTTTTGTTCACTTTGACCTAATGTATATGTATACAACAGCAGATAGCCACTACAACTCATCTACCATATCGTGCATGATTATTTACCAATCTTCTTTAATTAATATCTTGAAATTTATTGCGAATATCGCAAAACAGTACAGGATATTTATGTTCACCTTAATCCGTTCTACGTTCCCACAAAAACGGAAGAAAGTCTGGACACCTTGTACAGACTTGATACAGTCTCCCTTATTTCTCAGCAGAATAAGTAACGATTTAATACAGCATTATTTAACAGGTTTCATTTAAAATAAGACGAGAATTTAATTTATTTCTTTATACCAAAACAAATAATTATCGACGCCAAGACAGTCGAAATTACTGCGTATGTTGCAGCCTGTCTTCAATAAAGGCTATAACAGTGTTCTTTTGACGATGCATACGATGAATCTTGTCATTGGGCCGAATGCAATTGCAACATGTGATCAGCAAGACAAAATGCGAATTTTCATACACGAGACGCGAACGTTCGAGACATTTAAAGAAAGGCGAATTGAATGAGGGGAAACAAAAATCTGGGATGCTGTATATGATGAAGAAAGTCCACTGTATAGAGTGGACACCGATGATTAGTAGTAAGACGAAAAAGTTCATGATATAATTGAAAAAACAAGTTGTCAAATATTAGACGCGTCTTTCTCGAAACAACGTTCTTCAAAATGACGTATTATACTTGACATTTTAAGCTGCAATTTACGAATTGCCTTCAAATCTTAAATATACTAAACATCAGAAAAGCAGTAGTTTCCGTGTTATCGTTGATTTTGTTGTAACTTGTTTAAAAGTTTAAAAGATGTAACAGAAATTTATGCTAAATGTTTTAAAAATATTTAAACATTTGTTTTTCCATCAATTTTGTCAATTTCAAAAAACGAAATTAAGCTTTGTCAGACGGAAAATAATAGAATATAATTAATGAAAAAAATTTGCCTGTTTCAGAAAAACTAAAATAACGGATTCGTATACAGTGTATACCATACACCATCAATGCGTGCACGGAGAGACACGTTTCACGCGAATTGCTGTATCTCAATCAAATATTGAAATTGTTTAATAAACTTCTAGATACGCAGAAAATTATTATATGTGTTAATGAAGTGAAATATGAAATAAATCGCATTTTTACTTTCTTCCCATAAGCTAAGCCTAAAAAATCTTCAGTTTTCAGATTGGTCAAAGTAGGATAACCCTTTAAGAGATGTTTGTTTAACTAATCGTTCGTTGCTTGCTTAACAATTGCTACTGATTGCGCAAAGATAGTAGAGATAACCTTTATCTATGTTTTCATGCGATCCTGTAAACCATATATTTTTTAATAACCAAAATGTAAACATGTAGCATCATGACGAACTCACTCATTATGCAAACCGACCTCGGTCTCTCTCTCAACTTTAACTTTCGCATCATGACCATGCCCGGCACGATGGGCACTTTTAACAATGCGGTGACGGTGAAGAATCGATCGTCGTGACGGTGAAGAGGAAGCGGAGAAAGGAAAATCAACGCTGCAACCGCGCGCTGTACGTAACACCCGTATTTTTCGACGATTGGGTCAGGTGGCGGAGAAGCAAAGCGCGTCCGCATTATAATAACATGAGAATGCGCGCGTAGGTGTCGCGCTCGTACCGCGCGCAAGGTAATGCCGATGTAAACGATTCCGCGATAAGAAAGGTCGTTCCACGGCCTAGGTGCAACTCGTGCCTACATGTCGACCGCGTTTCCCTCCTAGTCTCCGTTTCTTTCCCCGGAAAACAATCGAACAATACTGAAGAGGCCACACGAGGCTGCGGATAGAAAGAGAAGAAATAAAGGAGGAGAAGGCAGAGGCAAGAGAAAGAGAAAGAGAGACAGCCAGGTAGTAGTCGGCCACGAAAGAGGAAGGAAAGAGAAGGAAGACGCTCGTTTGTCGGTCCATTGTCAACGTTCCACGACTGGTTTACGACCACCTAGGTTGCCCGAGAATTATGTCTTTAGTGCCGGGTCGCGACTCCTAAAGCGCACCGTTATCTAGACGTTTTATTGAGGGGACTGGGTAAAAAATCAATTTTCTCTTTTCTTATTTTTTGAAACTATTATGTTTCCTGAATAAAATGCTATACAACAAAAGTTCAGCTAAAAGATATTTAAAAAATATTATTAAAGCAATTTTATTTAGATCAATTGTACTCTCGCGAATACTCTATTGAAAAATACAAGACAATTTTATACTCCCTATAAAAGTAATGATATCAGGAGATTTACGCCAAGTGCGAATGATTAATCATTTCAACTTTCACTTTTATATACATGGGTGGTTTTGGCTATGTAATATATTTATAAATTAAATATATTATTAATATGTTAGTTATATATTATTTATATATTATTAAATAAAAAATATTTAAATAAAAAATATTTATAAATTAAATATTAATATATTAGTTATATATTATTTATATATTATTAAATAAAAAATAAAATAATTAGAAAAATACAATAATATAGAAAAAAATTATAACTTACACAAAAAGCACTTGGCGTACCTTTTTTTAATATTATATCGATAATAAATATAATATTTTGATAGTCATTAAAATAAGAGGACCGTTTGCCTATAAAAAAAAGACACGCCAAGTGCCTAGAGGTTTTTTCAAACAACCACGTAAAATTTCGAGATATTAATTAAAATAATTGGGCATATCAGAGCGCAGCGACGCGGCAGGCGGGACATACGGTTCGCCGCGGCCGGCGAGAAAAATGGACGATTGCTCGCGGGCCTATCCTAGAGAGGTGGGCCGTTTGGCATACGTAAAGAACCTCTAGTAAAGAGAATCGTCAAGTAGCTATTCTGCGATTAGCTGACATAAACATGTACGGACCCGGACATTGCGACGCCAATGCAAAACCATATATATATATATATATATATATATATATATATATATATATATATATATATATATATATA